TGATCTCGTGATCTGTACGCGCCGCTGGTTGGGCTCGAGGATTAATTCTTAAGGCACAATGAGAAGAGTGAGTTCCGTAGCACGGTCGGTGGGAGCCCCTCTACCATTGTATATTCCCGATCGAAATCGACAGGTCAACGAGCCCGTGGCTCAGTGGTTAGAGACGTTGGACTTCTTACAGGTTGCGGGATCGAGCCCCAGGTGTTTCACACTTCGGGCTTGGGTTTGACTGTCTGACGACGGCTAATAGGCCAGAAATGGTCATTCCAGTCTCCCTTGTCTTTATCGGTAATGCTATTCTGCCTATATCATGCGCCGCTGTGCTGTTTGCTGGCTGGACTCAAGAGAGAGTGTAGCGGCACATCAGTGAGAATGTGCGTAGTCTGTGAGCTACATTTATGAAGTCAAATCCCGCATTGGGAGGAGAAGACGGAAGGCGCCAGAATGAGGGATTTATTGTGCACAGAACCCGGAGTTGTCCTCATAGGCGGTAAGGGGCACTGGCGAAGCCACTGGGCTGGTGTTGACTGCGTCCAGTCATGCCTGAGAGTCCTTTAGATGGTGGTGGCAGCCGCTTTTGTAGGCTCCTGGGCCAAGCTCAAGTGGTGTCCAGTTCGTGTGTGTTGCATTTGCCGATGGCTGGTGTTTCAGTGGCTTAGGTTGTGGTTGCAGGGGGTGGGGTGCGTTCAAGTGGCCGCATAGGCAGCTGCGGCTGTGCGGACGCAGGTGTGCCCTAGCTGAAGTCGGTCGTGTGACTTCAGGTCAGCGCGTCTGGGACGGCTCACTGCAAAGGGGTGAATGACCTTGGAGCGGCGAGGTCTTGAAAAATTACGCCAGACCGGTCATGATGGCTGCCCGCTACAAGAGCCCCAAGACATAACGCGACAAGTGAGTTCCGTAGCACGATCTGTGAGCCCTCCTCTAGCTCTCACCGGCATCATTCCTGTCGAAACACACAGGGTATCTTATGATTTGTGTTATGTTATTGTTTGCCATTCCCCCTGAAGGTCGACCTAAGTGTCCTTCTGTTTTCCATACGCACTTTATCAGCCACATTTGCTTTTCAGGCTATCCCACCTGCAAGGAGAGGATGAAGTTCCGTGTTGGTTCAAGACCCGAAGGCAAGTCGTCTCTACCTAAGTTTCCCCTATCGCCTTTTATGTCTCCCCTCTCGTGCCGAACGGCCTGTCTTGTCAATTTAGACCAAAACGGCACCGAGCGTGTGCATGTGATAGGACTTACTTGCACTTGTACTTCCAGTATTCACTCTTCTTCCACGCGCAGAGCCCAGCATTCAAAACCGTAGAGAAGGACAGACCGGCCAGATGCAGGGTACACGCGAATCTTAGTGGCAATGGAGAGGTCACGTCGGATCTCCGTAGGCATTTCCGAAGGCTTGAAAAAACCCAGCGGGCAGCATCAATTCGGGAGACGATGTCGTCCTTACTCTGTCCATTAGGCAGCAGCCTCACCCCGAGGTATTTAAAACTGTCTACTTGTTCAAGTTGACAGCCATCAATCCCGAGGGGTGCCTTCTCCTGGTCAGGGATGCAGCTTGAAAGCACTTTAGTCTTCCCAACGTTTATGGATAAACCGATTGATTTAGCGATCTCGTTAACCCGTGACACCATAGACTGCAGATCACCAAAACTTGGAGCAAGTAAGGCGATATCATCGGCATAGTCAAGGTCAGTCAGTCGGTGTCCGGGTGTAAACTCAACGCCGTCGCCCTCGTGTAGGGCCCTCCCGAGGATTCAGTCAATAGCGTAGTTGAACAGAATGGGTGACAGGATACAACCCTGTCGAATGCCAGAGCGAATACCGAACGGTTGGAAAAGATTGTTGCGGACCAGGACTCGCGTGCTGCTGGAGCGATAATAGGCCTTGATCCTGGCGATTATTTTTGCCGATACACCATCTAGCGCCATTATCCGCCGCAGGGACTCACGGTGAACGGAATCGAACGCGGCGTGATGGGGCCTCTGTGCTCACGCCCCTCTGCGGTCGTTTTGATCTTGTCCCACCAATCGAACGTAGCGATTGCAACAGAAGAGATTGTGTGTGTGTTTGTGCCCTTAAAAGAGGCCATGTGGTAGATGCGTTGGTCCAACACGGGGACGAGTTCGGGGTTCGGTTGGCGTTATCGGGAATGCGCACCCGTAACGAATAGCATCATTTAGGTGTGACGGAACGCCTACGTGCAGACTCGCGCCGCGCACCCCCGTCAGGGTACGTTGTGTACCAGAAGGAGTAACGATACGCCTAGGTGCCAACCGCCCAGTCCTCTCCCGTCTCCCCTGCTCCAGATGTGGGGAAGGAGGGTGTGAGGTAGATGCATTGCAAGTCCACTGTCACTATAAAAAAATCACATCTAACGCACCGTTTCTGCGCTCACCCTGCTGTGGAACACATGGGGGACATCGTCGGTCAAGACGCTCGAACTGTCGTTTGTGTGATGTAGATGTCGTCCAAACCCCTGTCCGTATAATAAGATTCACCGCCGTCCCATACAGTGGTGATCCACCTCGCTAACAACTGGCGATCACTACCGCATGACATTGGCTGTACCTTGATCGACAACTCCCCCTTATGGGGGAAATGTCGTATAATCTGGCAGAATCTACAGTGAGTGTTGTTGGCTAAGAGCATCCTCCCGCGTCTCGCGGATTATAACCCTCCGACTGTCTAAAAAACGGTAAAGACATGACCAACCGGACAGCGGTTGAGCGAGGGACTGTTATGGGTGTGGTTTTTCTTTAGCTTCCTCATCCAGGTGTGAGCGTCTGAGTCCACCCATCCCTCCGGCACCAGATTATGAGCTTGTACTGGACGTCTCTGTATAAAGCTGTATTAGATGGCGACTAGATTTTGCCATGTTATATTCCGCCATGGCCTGTTACCTTGGCAACCCTATCTGATTTCGCTTTGTTGTCAGCAATTCTAATAGGCGGTGTTGGTAGTGAATAGGCCGTGTTCTGCCTGCCCAGATCTCCATCATCGGAAGGCCTATGGCGTTGTAGCTTACTTGTTTTGTGACGGGGAAACACTTTTGGATAGCGCTGTTTGTCGGATTTTATTCAGACACAGCAGAGCTTCATAAACCATGGCCTTCACGACGCTGGGTGTCTGTCGTTTGGGTACGGCAACGTTATCACTCGTGGCGGTGTTTGACTCCGTGTGATGCCGCGAAGGGGACTCTGGCATCTCACCATTGTAAAACCGGCTCTATTCTTCCACCTACCTCGAAGGACCGAGTCACACTGAGGGGGAACATGCTAACCTACCTCCGAGCCGGCTTGCGTACGACTAGCTCTGTCTCACCACTGGGTTTTCTAAAAGATCACGAGTTTTCCAGTTTCCCATGGTAGCTGGAGTATTACCTCGATTTTTCTCTTTCGACAACGTGTGGGGTGTCTAACAGCGACAGTTGGGTATTCAAAGAATTGTGGGAAATGTCTAAGTTCCGCAAATATTCCCATGTTACAATTGAAAAGTCAAGTTGGCGAACACGCGTTTTCGGGAAATGTGTTGTGATGTGTCACTGAGTAGGGCCGTGCAGGCAGGTCAGATGACTGTCGCGTTTGCTGTGTTCTAGGACTAATTTATTCAGTCAGCCATCGGGGTCGATTCGGCGAAAAGTCTCTGGCTTCATGTGCCACAACTGGCTTTTCTTTCATCGAACGAGCCAGAGAGGCGGGAGGAGAATTGAGGTCGATTTCTGGGTCAAAAAGTCTCCGTCTCTCGAACCGGCACCTCGTCGAGAATAAATGAAAGTGTGCAGCCCAGTCAAAATTTGAGCACATATTCCGCTGGAATGCATATGTAAACGCACTACTAATATGTCCCGCAACGTCAGTTTGACGGACGACAAACCGATGGGCCCGCTAACTTCTCCACCGTCCTATGTCAGGCTTTCTGCGGGTATCACGAAATTTAGACATCTGATATGCTCTAGGTCGCCGTCTTTTCGGAGGGCAGCTGTTGTCGCCCAATAAGAAGTTCGTGTTCGTGCATCCCGGTCTCCCATAAACATCTTTTCCGCCACGGCATCAGACTGGATAGTTAATCCGATCTGTTCTCAGGTTGATTAACGTTTTCTTTGTGTCAGGCCCCATGCTGCCTGCGCATAAGATAACTACGGCGATCTGGGGGGGGGGGGCGAATTCAGACTCAGGGTCGTGCATAGGCAGTTGCTATTGCACCCAAAAGACGATTAGTCTGGTTATTTGTCAGATGGGCTGCAACAGCAATAAAGCTAGTTATGTTGGTCAACCATATTCTGGGTCACCCTGTGATCGTGAAACAATAGCACAGAACCTTTGCTCCGATGATCAGGGGCTGCATAGTCAACTGTGGGGGATTGGACCCATCAAAGAGGATGGAAGTCATAAGTACTCGGAGGTATTTTATCAACCTCCTGGTGATAAGAGGGGCGGCAATACCGTTGGCTGTGGGGTAATTCATTGCTGAAATCGTAGGGGAACCAGCTTCCTCGCCTCAAAAACACCCACGTTAAAGCCTTGCCACTTATCTCCCGGCTGTTGCAAACCATTTTCATCTTTTTTCGCTCACTTTGCGCTTTTTCGCTTTGCGCCTCCGCCACAAGTCGTGCGCAGAAAAAAACGCACCCCTCCCCGCCCGGGTGCTGCGTCGATCGTGTACTTCACTTCACTCTCGTTCCGACTGGTGTATATTGTGCGGTGGCGGCGCTAAGTCCTCGCCTCCGGCGCGTTCAGTCGTTCGGTAAAATTGGCTCAGGTCAACACTCTGCAGTTAGCTGTTGTCCCGCTGGAAAGCCAGCACTGTCGTCGTGACGGCTAGCACTTTGCAGTCGCGACGGTGGAGTCGCAATCACGCATTTCGTATTAAGTCAAGCCCCGTCGTGACGGCAACTCCTGGCGTGCGGGACCTTTTCCTTCTCGGCCTCGATGCTGATCTACAAAGGCCACCCACCAGAGGTAGAGCTGAGTGGAACGGCGGTTGACAAGGGGGTACGAACCATGCCCGATCTGGAACCTTTAACAACCGAATACGATAAGGTAAGACCGGAAACTCGACTGTGGTCAATCATTAAAATAGGGCGTTTTTATACCAGGAATCAAGGAAACAACTTTTACAGGGCCAGAGCACGTAATTGGCTTTTTGTAAGACCTTGCAAGAGGACTTGCTGGAGGTAGGCCGAAAGCGCGTCATCTCCCAGCTACCCATCGTTCAATCAGCGAGCGGGGTCAAGGTCTGCGCGAGCTACGCCGCCAGTGGTGAGTGCTTTTATCAGCCGTGTGTGGACAGGAGGGCGGGGTGACGTTCGGACAGCGGTAAACCAGGGGGAGGGAAGCGCCTCACTACAACATTTCAGTCATGTACAACACTTGACATCTCAAAGTTGGAAGATTTATCTTGCTTGTTTACCCTTTTTCTCCGTCTAGCCATCTACAACTACGTACAGCGTCCCTTCCTGCGCATGTCCTGGGAACAGGAGGAGAACAAGTCGCGGCATGTTGATTTCCAGTGTGTCAAGAGCAAATCTGTGAGTGACTTGACCAGCCTGGAACAAGCCGTCATCGACCGACCGCCGGAGACTCTGCCAACGACGAGTTTCCCGCAGCCACCTGCAGCGGCGGGGACGGCAGCAGCAGCAGCAGCAGCACCATTGCTGTCACCGCGAGCACCATCCTCTCCGGTCACCCTTCCGGAGTCGCCCAGTCCAGTCGATCCGCCTCCTGCAGACGAGACCGCCTGACCTGTCCTGATGAACTCACTTTCCCCCCCCCCCTCCGCATCCCTTATCTCACCAACCCACAACCGTCCAACCCAGCCGTGTCTGCTACTTATACACATAAGTACTTACGTTTGTACCAGAACCTTACGCGTAGCACACCTTAGCGCTGGCGCCTTTGACGCCGAATGCCTACGCTACACAGACGCTTCTCCGATTTCGGTATCCTCACTTTTCGCTCCCAC